CCTACTTTTAAGTATTTTGGTAAAATTCTTTATAATACCTAAGAGCACTAGGTGTATATGCTAGTATATTGTTAGTAGAAAAATAGTAAAACAGTGATTCATGTGCCCATCGCTCAGGCTAGAGAGAATCTCCTGCAGGAAATTCTGGAGTTTCTTTGTATGTATATACTCTTGTTGTGAAATATGTTTTCACTGGGTATAGATGTGCAGCTTCACAATTATTATCTTCAAGAATTGAGTGGGTAGTTTTTGTTTTTTGCTTCCATCGTAATAGGGTAAGTTTGTTCCTCTTCATTCTTTCTCAGAATTGCCTTGACTATTCTCTGCTTCTCAGTTGGCACATGACCTTTGCAATTAACTTATGTAGCTAAGAAACTTCTGTTTGAATTTTTATTGGGATTGCATTGAAATTATAAATTAAATTTAATTAGATTGAATTAATAAGAGTAGATATATTTTAAGTATTAATTCTTTCCATACAGCAACATGTTGGTCTACTCAAGTCTTGGTTGCATGTGTGTGTGTGTGTGTGTGTGTGTGTGTGTGTGTGTCATTTAGTAAAGTGTATAGTTTTCTTCATTTAGTTGTTAAACATTTTTTATAGACTATTCTTACTTTAAATAATGGGTTTTAAAGGTATTCTGAGTTTTACTTTCTATTTCCTTTTAAACAAAGAGATATTTCTAAGGTTATAGATTATATAGATTATGTGTGTGAGTGAACATGTTTAAAAGTGACTCATGGATTTGACTTATGTCTTGCATAGGGGCCAGGCTGGTCTTCAGTGCATTGCTCAATTTTGAAATCCGTGCTACCAAAATGAGTACTATTCTTTGTTTTTAATTTCAACTTTTATTGCATTATGGTCAGAGAATATGGCTAGATAGGTTGTACTTTGGGGAGTTTATTGATTTTCTTTATAGCTTAGTACATTATAAAATTTTAAGAATATGTTTTCTCTCTGGGTATGTATCATATATTAGATCAGTTTTGTTCATTGTTACACAAATGTTTTTACTCTTTTAATGCTTTTTTGTGCTCAGCAATATCCTTTTCTCAAAAATGGAAAGACTGCTAACATATTGTTAGTATTTGCATGTATGTATTTCTTTTTTTATTTCTTGGTGATATATATTACATAGTCTTATCATGATCACATTTACATATTTTATCCTACTAATGAATTTTATCTTCTAAGAATATGAAACATCTCTGTTTTCTCTCTAATGTCTCTCTCTTTGAATATTACTTTTGTATGGTACCAACATTGCAAACTTCATTTTGGTTAGTGATGCCTGATATGTCCTCTTCCTTCTCTCCCTTTCTCTGCTGTCCCTTTCATAGTTTTATTTTTGCATCTAGTTTTATCCCTAAAAATATACTTTTATTTTAGTTATTTTCTCTTCTATAAAAAATAAGTACATTGCTATATGTAATCAGTTAATCAGCTTATATTCTGAGCTTTGCTTTGAGTTATCTGTTAGACCTCAGATTAGATCAGAAAGGAACATCAGAATCTGCAGACATCTTTACCTCATTTATCATTTCACCCTTCAGAAAACGGGTCGAGTATTTGTAATTGTCACTGAGTGACAGGGGGACAGATGGTGGACCATCGTCTTTATCAGAAGATGGCCTCTTCTCTTTGCATGGCGTCTGTTTCACAGTATTTCATTAGCTTCACTTTCTCATCTGTCATTCCCAGCAATACAGTCCGTAGATTATAATATATAAAAGCATAAATGTATCCCCTACACCTATAGAAAGAGAACTTAGCACAGTTGAATCCTCTGTATAATTAAAATAGCCGGTAAAGTTTGACAAGTTGTTGTTACATGTGTTTAATTTTTCAAAATGATGCTGTCGCACAAAGGGCCTGTTTTGATAAAAAGTATTATGTTTCAGATTTTCTCAAATTTGCTGTTTGATGAAATTTTAAATTTTATCTAAACATAATAGAACTCTCAAACTTTTTATTTTACTTTTTAAGCATTTCTTCAGCACCTGCTTGTTCATTCTGCATTCATCCAGGTGCCTGAAAAACACAGATAATAAAACTGCCACATGAGCTACCTCCTCAGTTTGTGCTATCTCTGATAAATTCATAGTTTCACGAGTTTCTGAACACGCTCTTTAAATATAAATGGACTAAGTTTTATATATGGTGGTTTTATTTTTTAGTCGTATTTGGATAATATATGTAGATACTTTATTTGATATGGCTAATGCCATCCAGCAAACCGGTAATCACACACCAGAGTTCCGCTTGTCTGTCTGGAGGACAATCTGCTGGAATCGTTTTATGAAGGGTTGATATCAACCAAAATAATCGTTTATCACACATGCTTTTGGCCTTATTCTGAGTTAACTGTGACATCCAGAGATTTGTCCCTCTTTAGCTTTCGCAGTTATCACAAGCCCTTGGCACATAGTAGGTTGAGAAAGTACAGAATGATGATGAGAGAAGAATGAGTTTTCCAAAAGAGTGTTAAAACCCTGCATTGTTTTCTCATCTGATTAGTAACTCGGCATCCACCCTGCTCCTGAAAGTAAACTTGCCTCCAGAGAAATAAGCCTCTTGAGCATAACACACCACCTTTAAATTTCCAAGTAAAAATATACTTGTTATTATTGTAATGAAGCTTTGGTCCTTTTTTCAAAGGAGATCTTTAAACCCTTTTGATCTAGGAAGAATAACATCCTTAACAATTCTCAGTCCGTATTATAGTATTTCAAAATAATGGGAAGCAGATTATTTCCTTCAACGTATCGATGTGCCACATTTTATGAAATGTGTTTATTCTGAGGTAACACTTGAGAGAGCTCTAAAATGGAAGTAATCTTGTATCTGTCATTCATATTTCCCTATATATCCTATTTTTAGAACTTTCACATTCCTTCCCAAAGATCATGAACCTGTCTGTAGCTTAATTTTTTCATGTCTCTTTTACAAAATCAGGAATTATGAGAACCTTTAGGAGGAGTTAGATAGAATATCAAGATCATAAACCTCAGTATTTAATATAGTAAATGATGTTAGAAAGGCCAGAGCTTTGGTCTAGTATGCCATAAAAGGTAATTAAAAGAATAAGAGGGGTATAAACTCTGATGAGATCATGTCTGTATAGTATTAGTTTCCTTACATACATTTATTAGTATTTCATATTGTAGCAATGATGCTAAAATGAGAAGTCACAATTGTGACTTAAAAACCAGACTTCACATTTTTTTAGTGTGCGAGTGTGGAATTAGCCATCCCTAATTACCTTTTGGTGTTTTCACATTGATTCTTAGAATGTTATAAAGGGGGCACTTTAGAATTTATTGTCTAATGCCTTTATTTTACTAGTGAGGGAACTGAGGCCCAACTCGTCACTTTGTCACGAGTTGCAGAATTTATCCTGGTGTAGACACTTTGACTTACAGTTCAGTGTTATTTCTAACTGGAGGCACAATGCACAAAATTCATGCAAGAGTAGGCCTTCCTTCCCCTGGGTGCCAGCACCGGCTTCCCTCTGGCACCCAGGACCCAGGCTTCCCTCGCAGCCCCGGCTTCGTCCAGAAGGACGGAAGGACGTCCGGTCTAATTAGCATATTACGCTTTTATGATTATAGATGTGCCTATAAGAAAACTGTCTGCTCTTTTTTTTTATGCGGGGGGAGAGGGAGATAATTTTTATTTCATCTTGTGTTACTTTGCAACTAATCCAGCACTTAAGTGAATAAGGAACATTCCTCAAAACTGTCTGTTCTTAATGCTTATGTAGAATGAACAGTGTCAAAAGGAATGGCCAAATAAAATATATATCTACACTAATAAATGACAAAGATGCTAATTGACCATACCTTTGCTACACCCACCAACCCATCAGAAGAGTATGCAAATTAACCCAACAAAGATGGTGGTTAATTTGCATACACAGGCGCCCAGCGAAGACTGAAGACAGTGTAGAAGGAAGCCAAGCACTGCAAAAGGGAGCCAAGTGTCAGAGAAGGGAACGGATCGGAGGTAGCAGAGATGGGAGCGGAGCTGAGGCAGCGGACATGGGAGGGAGCAAAGTGGCGGACACAGGAGGGAGGTGAAGCAGAGGACATGGGAGGGAGCCGAGGTGGCAGGGAAGGGTGGGAGCGAGGCGGCGGGGGAGGGAGGGAGCCCGCCTCAGTGGGCTTCGCTCCCTTCTCTGCTTCGCTCCGGACTCAGGAAGTACTATTCTTGCAGGAATCTTCCTGCAACAGGCCTCTAGTCTATATAATAAAAGCCTAAGCAACCATTATGGTAGAACAACCAAAACAACCGGTTGCTATGATGCACACTGACCACCAGGGGGCAGACACTCAATGCAGGAGCTCCCCCTGATGGTCAGTGCACTCCCACAGGCACTTGAATGGTGCGCACAGGTGTTAATGGCATCTTGGGTTCGGCTCTAGGGTGCTCGAGAGAAATGAATATTGTTATTTCACTTACTTGGGTAAGCCAAACAGAATTTTAAGATTCAGGTGTACAAATCATTTTTTCATACAAGATAAATGTAAAACATACCCCCGAGTAGACAGAATAGTGCGACGAGCCTCCACATACTTACTCATCACTGAGCCCTACAGTGGTGACCTTGTGGTAGTTCTGCCTCACCGACAGACATCTCACCCATTCCCCAAATAATATTTTGAAGTCAGTTCTAGATACCATTTCATGATAGCTATTTTTATTTTTTAATACGTTTTTATTGATTTTGGAGAGGGAGAGAGAGATAGAAACATCAATGATGAGAAGGACTCATTGATCAGCTGCCTCCTGCACACATCCCACTGGGGATTGAGTCTGCAACCCAGGCATGTGTGCCCTGATTGGGAATCAAACTGTGACCTCCTGGTTCATAGGTTGACACTCAACCACTGAGCCACGCCTGCTGGGCTGCATAATCTTTTATACTTACTGTAAGCCCGTAGCAATACTGTGTTATTTTTTATTTGTCATATTTATTATTTGATTTATTTTGCAGGAGCATCTTTCCTTAAAGAAGTACATTATTGACATTGTGGTCGAAAGTCCAGCTCCACCAGAGCCTTTGAAAGACGGAGAAGAGCGGCAAAAAAATAAAAAAAAGGCCAAAAAGATCAAAGCCCGCATGAACTCCAGGTACCATAACTATCCTTAAAAAACAAAAACTATTAGTGATGTATTCTTTTTAATGTAAATTCAAGGAAGACCCTCTAACCCCCACAAGAAGTTTAAAGTTGTTTACTTCAAGAAAGCCTCGAAAAGAACACGGATGAGCCTAATTTATAGCCACTTTCTTTGATTGAGAAAGAAAACTGCCTATCGATCTAGAGCCCTTGCCTTCACCTGCTAAGAGCTCTCCTTATAATTTGATGCAGCGGCCCTGCCAAACTTGTGCCTCCCCCAGCATGCGGTGGGATGTCTGGTGTGTGTAAACCAGGCCTATTTTTCTTCCCAGCTATTGATTTTTAAATGAAGTATTAAAGAAAATCAATAGCAATCAACAAATAGAAGTCTGCTGGCTGTAGTGTTAAATCCCATGACTAGGCTTAATCAATTTGGTTGCCTGTCACAACAAGAAAAAGTTCAAGAAATATCTGGAAATGGAAAGTGAGTTGTCAGACCTGTAGTTTATCATCAGCCTCGAAGTGACATCTGAGGCCCAGGTAGCTGGTGGCGCAGCGTGACCTCGCAGCTCTGCCCCCCCCATGACGGATGCGTCTTGTTCGAGGACACAGTGCGGTGCCTCCCGAGCAGGTGATCTGAGAGAAGTAGCCTGAGTGTGTTGTCATACCGTTGTTCCCAAATATCTCGAAAGATGGAGAAGCCTGACCCCTGGGAACAGGAAACATGGGTCTAGAATAATGGTGAGTGGCGGTCAGCTCTGTAGTTTCCGACTTCACGTTGTAACCAACCAAAGGCTCCATTTCCTCTCACAGAACCATGACAGCCTCGGAGCGGTCACGCAAAGAGCAGAAGAGGGTTCTGACTGTGTTTTTGAGGTCCCTCCAAGTTTCTAGAAGTCGTTCCGCAGCAAACTTCAGGGGGTGATGGTCCTTCATTCCTGGTTTATGCAGAGAGCCTGCCGACCTGCCTCCGGGCTCTGGGAGGCCAGGGGCCCTTTGGACTCCTTCTTCCCTCTCTGTGCACATTCGAGCTAATCCAGTCCTGTGGCTGTAAGAGCCTCCACTTACCACGTTTGTGTCTCCAGTGCTGTTCCAAGTGGGTCTGTCCCAGGAAGGCCCTCCCCTCCCCTCCCCAGCACAGCCCCTTCTCTTTCTCCCACTAACCCCACATCTAACCCAGCTGCGGATAATGTTAGCTTTGCTTTAAAATAGACTCAGGGTCTCAGAATCAAACGTCACTGCTGGCCCTGCGCCAGGCTCCCTCTCGCCTGGGGGTTGCTCTGCTCTCCCTGCTTCCGCCCGGCCCCTTCGGTCTGGTGTACACGCTCCAGCCAGAGCGGGCTGGTCAGATGCGAGTCCGATCATGTCGTTTTCTTCGCTCAGAACCTCAGGTGTCCCCTTCCCATAGGTGTCCATGCTAGCCCGTGCCTTCTCACCGCCTGCACTTCCAGCCCCAGATAAGCGTATGCTTTGATATCACAGACATCTTCCAAAGCCGCCGTGTCTTCTTTGTTAGATGGAAATGAAACCGGGTCGAGTTTCCAGACCGTGGGAAACAGTTCTTACGCAGTCCCGCACAGCGCCTGGCTCAGATCCCTGCCCCACGGTCACCATTTCCACCTTCCATCCGAGGCCACACTCACTCGCAGCTACCAAGGGGTTATTGTCCCATTTTGATCTGTCCTAATGTTTTGGCCGATAGCATTGAGCATATGTAGGTTTAAATTACACATAATTTAACATTTAATTCTGATTTAGCTATTTAGTTCCCAGGTATCACCTGCGCTCGTTTGCTTTTTCCCTGTTAGGCCTGTTATAATTTGTGTCTTTCACATTTTTGTGAAGCAGAGTTTAGTTTTCCACCTCCCGTTGCTGGCTGGGTTGGCATACATTGTGGCTAATTCTTTCGTAGGTTGTTGCACTAATTCTTCGATGGGAGGACCCTTTGGATGAGCAGTTAAAATTTAAAGTAGCTTTTTCCTCCCCAAAGAGAAACCGACAGATTAAGCAGCATTAGTGGATGGCTGCAGTGACACCTGTGAGACGCTGGTGTGGGCGCTGTCCGCTGCCTGGTTCAGGCACGTGGAGCCGAGTGAGCGGTGGCTGTTTGCAGACACTTGGCATTTAGTCCGTATAAAAGGCACAAGCAAAACACAGCGGAGCCTTGAGTGTCTGGTCAAATGGTTTCTACCGGCTTTGAAATTATTTCTAAAGTTAAATTACCCTTCTTTATCTATATTTAATATTGCATACTATATGCCTTTGAGTTCATAGATGCTCAGCCACCTCAACTACTTCATAGAAACTTAATATGGTTTCAAAGTAAATAATCATGATTTTAGCATCTTTAAATTCAGTAGTGTTTTTATGAATCTGCTTTCTATCCATAAAGAAATATATTTTTAGGTCTTTTTTGACAGCATTTATAGTATTTTAACGAAGCAGTTTCAGAAATCAAAGTGTTAAAGTTAATGTAGTAATGTCCCTGGTTTTGGAAGAGGAAAAACACAGAATTAGCAGCAAAATAACAGTGATTGCACTTTTGTCTTTTCAGGGCCAAGGAATATGAAAGTTTAATGGAAACAAAAAATTCTGGCTCTGACTCACCTTATAAAGCAAAGTGAGTATTTCATCCGACCTTTGAGTTCTCCGTTTCCTTAGTCTCTGCCTGCAGCAGAGCGTACCTGAGCCTCGTGTGCCTGTGGGCACGGCTTTGTGTCCGGTGCCTAGGACTTCGCTCTCCTAATGCAGTGGTGTCCGGCTGGGGGCGATTTCCCAGGGGGCCTTGGTCTCCGTCTGGGATATGGGTAACTTCTTGGTCATCACAGCTCGGTCGATGGTGCTCTGCCACCACGTGTGTGGAGCCCCGGGTGCTGCTACAGTCCTCAGTGCACAGGGCAGGCCCTCAGCCAAGAACCACCTCGTCCTAAACGTCCCTTGTTCTGACACAGTAGTTCTGGCTCGACTGCTGGTTCCTGCCGGGGCGGCTCTGTCAGGAGTCGGGTGACGGTCGCTTGGACGGAGGAGGATTTGGACTCCCGTCCGGCGTGAGTGTGACGACGCCACAGCTGTTCTCTGATTTGCGGCCACAGAGGTGCGGGCGGAAGGGTCTCTCCTGGATGATGGGGCGCAGGTTGGGGTGTCTCAGGAAAGGCGTGCGAGTCTGGGGCTTAGGACGTGCACTGGAGGCTTCATGGTGCTCAGTGAAACATGCCAATTGTGCCAGATAGTTATAGACAAAGATGACGTTTTTAATTGTGAAAAGGGTCAGGAAACACTTAAATGCACAAATTGTGTACTACCTCTAATTACATAGTTGATAGATATGCTGTAGCGTTTTGATGTAGCAACGCTTACATTCAGAATAGAAATATTACCGCCTTTCAGAAATAAGACACCCATCAGATGATTTTTTTATTATTTTTCGGAACTATTAGCCATTGCCATTCTAAAAGGAAATACAGCCTTTCACAGAGGAGAACAAAATCACCAAGATTGTGAGGATCCTGTAGAGCTAAAAAGCCCCTGAGATCAAGTGAACCAGTAGAACAAGAGAATCAAGTCAGTGAAATGGCTGATCACCGAATGAATGTGATAATATTAACAGTGGGCAACGTTTACTGAGTGCTCACCTTACGCCAGGCTCTACATGTGAGGACTCATTTATTCCTCACAACTCGGTGCTTTTCTTCAGGGAAACTGAGCCTTAAGAGGGTCAGTCACTTGCCAGAAGTTATGCAACAACATATCCAGGGTATGAAAATGAATGGCTTTCTTTCTGATAATCAGTTGGAGAACATAATCATCATTTACAATAGCAATATAAAAATAAACTATTTAAGAATATACTCAACAAGAAATGTATGAAGCCTGTTTAAAAATAAAACTTTAACATGCTATCAGGGGTATAAAAGAAGACTTGTGTAAATGCAAAGACAAATTATACTCTTGGATGGAAGTCACAGTGTGGTAAATTCTCTATAAATTTTCCTACATATGGAGTGTGATTCCAATGACATAACAGCCTTTTACAAATAGAGGTAGAAAGAATCCATGTGAAGGCCTGAGGGGGCAAGGGTGGGTTGAGGGGGTAAAAGGGGGACATATGTAATGTTTTTTACAATAAAGATAAATTTTTTGGAAAAAGAACATATGGGAAAATGAGAATTTCTACAAAAAAATTTTTTTGAAGGAGACTGAAGTAGGACCAAGCTAACAGATATGTAGTTAAAACAGCTTTTCATTGGCACGTAAATAATAATACGTATTGATGGGAAGAGATTTTTAAAAAGAATCTAGAAATAGAGCCAAGAATTTGAGGACAGTTAATGATTTGAGGACCGTGGTGTAGTGCTGGCAGAGACGTCCAGCGGAAGCTGAGCGGCTCCGCGGTGTGTCTGTAACGTGTCCGCTTCTCCACCGGGGGTGGACTCGCTTCCCTTCCTCTTCAGCGTGGTCTCGTCTCTCGACCAGCTTGACCCACAGACCTGGGCAGAAGCCACTCTGAGCCGTGGCCTCAGGACAGCGGAGGCCTCTGCTGCAGCTCCCTCTCCTTGCCCCCGTGGCAGCCTGTGCGGAAGTCTGGCTCGGCCCCGGGGCACATGCAGAATCCCTTCAGGACGCTCCTGAGGTGGTTGGCTTGCTCTGGTGAGGATTGCCGCCTCAGTATCCACGGGGATATCACGCCCCTCAAGCCCCATGGCCAAAGCAAGTCATTTGGCCGAGTCCACAGCCCCGTGCAGGGAGCCTGCACTCAGTCCAGCAGGTGACCGTTCAGGGGCTTGTGTGACACAGGCCGCCCGGCTGCTCTGGGTGTCCTCTCACTTGACAGCCTGCTTTCTGCTGACCTTTTGCCTGGTTCTCGTTCCTCCTCCCGACCCCCACCATCGCTGTTACTAATGGAGAATCACTCCCTGGTCATCTCATTCTGCTTCATGATTTTAAACATCTAGTCACTGATGGATTGATTACGTAGGGACTTTTTGAGCTTTTATATTTAAAAATAAAGCTTAAGCATATTGTTTAAAAATAGAAGGGTAGCCCTAACCGGTGTGGCTCAGTGGACAGAGCGTCGGCCTGCGGACTGAAGGGTCCCAGATTCAATTCCGGTCAAGGGCATGTGCCTTGGTTGTGGGCACATCCCCAGTGGGGGGTGTGCAGGAGGCAGCTGATCGATGTTTCTCTCTTATCGATGTTTCTAGCTCTCTATCCCTCTCCCTGCCTCTCTGTAAAAAATCAATAAAATATATTAAAAAAAATAGAAGGGTAACCAATAGCCCTAAATTTAAACCATGTACCTTTCAAATAGAGGAGGTGAAAATAAGAAAAGATAAAGTGTTTGTCTTTCTGTCCACACACCAGAGTGGACCCGGTCTCTTCTTACCCTTGTGCAGATCTTCCCAGTGATCCCAACAAACTCCCCGAATTTCACTGTGATAAAATTTAGGGTTCCTTCCAGAGATACTCTTACAGCTCACATTCACCAGTGACAGATTTGAACGTGGAATTATTGTTGGAATTTGTTCAAGTTTGGAGAAGAAAATATCTGACTGTACAACATTCTCCACAAAATCATTTACCTGACAGACACTTCTCATATTTTAGCCCAGGAGTTACGAAGCCTCCACTCTCTTTCATGCTAGAAAAATTATCTGCCAGAAGTAATCCGAGTAACATTTCTGTGTTAAAAACTGCGCCCTCTAGCAGCTCCTGTTTTTGCCCTGTAAGGGAAATGGAGCTCAGTGCGGTGACGTTCTGTGACTAAAGCACGAATCCAGCCTGAGGCGCTTGTTCTCAGATGGGCAGTTTCACTGGTGCTTTTGTGGAGGCAGCAGGGGAGCAGAGGGCTAGCTCACGTTACCCAAGCGTCCCCTGGATTTGGCATTCTTCCTTGAAGGGCAGGCTCACATGAGTCCCGGGTTTGATTTACCTCGGGTGAAATACAAGCCTCTTGTCTTCTGTGAATTAAAATGGTCCTGTGCCTCCCCAAGTAACGCTGGTTCTCAGTGGAATGTGGGCATTACTGGTAAGAGGACTGCTAGATTCATATGCATTCATTGCTGGCCGGATATTTAGTTACACGGTGTGCAGTCTTTGTTCAGCCAAAAGCTGAAGTGGCTACTTACCTATCACACAGTGAAGTTCGCTGCCAATATTCTTCCACACGATAAGGTCAGTAACTTTAATCGTATGGGACTCCGGCCCATATTCAGTTAGACTCTAACTGTTAGAGGGGGGGGAAAAATGTTGCTCTTACTGGTTTTTTTCCTTTTGTTAGATTGAGAACTTTCTGTCAATGAATAGTAATAATAGTTGAACATTTATTGAATGTCCACTGCAGTGAGTGATGTTCGGTAAGTTGCATTATTTACCTGTGATCTTCCAAAGCTTGGAGAGGAAATATATGCACATTTCCTCCACTTTCAAGATGAAGAAAGTGAGCTTCGGAGAGTTCATGACCTCCCGGGCTGACACATGTGGTCTGTGCTGGAGCCAGGTTTAAGCACAGGTATTTTGGCTTTGGAGTTGTGTTCAGTCTCACGTATCACAGTAACCTCACATGGGTAGCTGAGGTTTAAACTGGAATTCACCAGTGTCTTTTTTTAGCTGCATTTGCGGTTGCCTTTTTTGAGAAACTTTTACATAAATGCAGCTATAGATGAAATTGTATTCTAGCCTATTATTAGTTTGAGAATAAATGTCCTTTTTTGAATTAACTGATATGGTACAGAGATAAACCTGGGATTTAAAGATCGCATGCCTAGATGTCTGTCCCAGTAACACCGCTACCAGTTATGAGATCTTGGGAAGGCACCTGATTTGCTTGAGCCTTCGTTTCTTCATTTTCCAAACAGGGATAACACTAAGGGACAGTGTTCTCAGAGGATTAAATAAGGTTTTGTACATGAAAGTGCTGTGTAACCTCTGAGGTTGTGGGCGGGGTGAAGAACGTAAGAAGACCCTTTCTCGGCCGTTCCCTGGCGGTGTGCCCGGGGGCACGTGTGTGTGTGTGTGTGTGTGTGCGCGCGCGCGCGGAGGCAGCGTGTTGGGCTGTGGCTGTGCCGCGAGCAGGAGGCAGGACGCTCTCCTGGAGCCCCTCCTGCCTTCCGCACCGTCCAGCATGATGGCCTCCAGCCACGTGTGCTGTTCATAGTTCAACATTAAAACTAGTGCGGCTTACATTTCCCTTCCTCGGTCACACTGACCACTTCCTGGCTCAGCAGCCGCCGTGTGGGACGTCCCGATGTGGAGCGTCCCCTCCTCGCAGGAGGCTGTGCTGTGAGGCTCGTGGAGGGAGAGCTGTGTGACGAGTGGCCAGGGCTGGTCGACCAGGACGCTGACGCTGATAAGGGATCAGGAGGACTTTCCCAGAGGAGGATGAGGTGGGGCATCTGCAGACACTGAAGCGGGAAGGAGAGAGGGCACAGATCCCGGGAGAGCGCGGAGCGTGGACTGGGGTGCAGCAGCCCACACGGGAGGGGCAGGCCCCTCAGTTGTAACAGGAGCGTGTGGGTGACGTGCAGAGAGGCTTGAGGCTTTGTGGAGGAAAGTGAGGATTTTCTTGTTCATTACAATAGCTCCCATTGCCTGTGAAATGTAAGATCTGATGAAAGCAAGAGGGAGAAAGAAAGGGGGGTTTGAAGGGATTGGGGAGAGTGTGAAGCAAGTCTTTGTGGAGAATGGGCAGGGGCAGCCGGACAGATGGGTCGGATCCCGGTCATAGTCAGACCAGCCTGTTCATGGAGTGGAAGAGCCTGGCAGATACTTACCACCAGCTAAAAAGATGAATGGCGCAGGACGCTGACATGGAGCCTCGCCCCAGGGAGAGCCGCACAGTGATGGTCACTGCCGGGTGGCACCAGGAGTAGCACCAAACGAGAGGGGAAGGTGACCTGTTTACAAGAACGTGGTTATAGTGACGGCCTCTGGACTCCATCCCAGATAAAGGTGAAGGTCAGCAGCAGGGTCTGTGAGCGAGGACACTGGAGAGACGGGCGAGGGTCTAGTGAGTGTCAGCTGGTGAGATGCTGAAGCAAGTGAGTGGAAAGGAAAAGATTGCTCACAGAGAAACAGAAGATGTAGGGGCCACAAGAAATAGGATAGCAGCCCCCTCACTAAAGAACCCCAGGTTCTAGGTAATGTGTAGTGTTTCCTGGTGAAATGCAGGTGATAGCTTGATTGTCTAAGTAAATGACATTAGCAGTCGGCAGGCAATTCCAAATTGCCTGTAAATTGGACCATGGGGAGTTTGACGTTAAGAGTTTACAAAGCTAATAACATAATGTCCAAGCCAGCTTAAAGATTTAAATCAAAATCTGAAACACTGAACTGACCGGTGTCAGTCAGTGGTTGGAGCGACAGCCTGTGCACCAAAGTGTCTCATTGGGGTCACTCCCTGTCCTCAGTTGAGGTGTGTGCGGGAGGCAGCCAGTCAGTGTGTCTTTTTCACATCGCTGTTTTCTCCCCCCCTCCCCCGCCCCCCACTTTCTCTAAAAAGCAATGGGAAAAATACCCTTGGTGAGGATTAACAACAGCAACAAAAACCTCCTCAGGGGGTGACGCTCAGGTTCTCTGCCTTGTACTCACCTCTCGGCATCTCCAGTTCTGTTCACGGTGGTGACGGCCACAACTGCCCTCCCCAGCCCTGTGCACAGACGGCGCCGTCCTCTTCTGCGGGTGCGTGAGGACTGGGTGGGTGTTGGTGACCAGGAAGCCACACCAGCCTTGGGGGTGGTTGCTTGTTCTCCCCCCAGGTGCTCTGGGGAGCAGTTTCTAATACAATAATGGGAGTAACTTGTTTCAGAAAGTTTAGAAAAATGAGATACTGTGGTCTCGCCCATGCAGGGTGCCATTCCCTTCCACTCACTCCTTCCCTTTCATTTTGTGTTGAAGGCTTCAGCGACTGGCCAAAGACCTTCTGAAGCAGCTGCAAGTCCAAGACAGTGGGTCGTGGGCAAGCAACAAGGTTTCCGCGTTGGATCGGACCCTGGGAGAGATCGCTAGGATCCTGGAGAAAGAGGTAGGGACCACCTCTGGCCTCGGCCCCTGTCTCTGTGGGTCTTTCTCTCTAAGGCGACGGGCAGAGGCTGGCGTGTGCGTTTCTATTGTGTTTCCAAAAGCCAGTCAGCCTTCCGTTGACGGATGATTTCCTTTTGTTCTTAATTGAGTTGACCTTTTTCCAGTTGTTTTAATTGAAGTCCTAAATAACAAAAAATGTTCCTTAGGTCATGATTTCCTCAGTCATATTTTTCTCCACATAAACAAAATGAAATTATTTTAAATGGAATCATATCAATAAAGACATACAATTTTATCGCAGAAAATATACAGCTTTGAGTCATAAAGCTCATAGATCATAAATTTTCACAAAACACCAATTTTCCTCTACCAGCAGAAGATTTGGCTGTTTTCTTTAATGACTTACAATCATTAAATGTTTCAATGACAGTTGAAAATATCTTACCTAAGAATAGACAAACATGTAAATTGACCGTCCCTCCGCGATGCTCACCAGCCAATCAGGAGAGTATGCAAATTAACCCAACAAAGATGGCGGTTAATTTGCATACGTAGGTACGAAGTGTTGGAGTAAAGACTGAAGGCTCCGGCCAGAGCGAAGGCCTGGGTCCCGGGTGCCGGAGGAAAACCGGTGCCGGCAGCCAGGGGAAGGGAAGGCCTATTACACGGATCTCTTCATGCAACAGGCCTCTAGTCCTTAATAATTTTACAAGTCTTTAGTATTCACTATAGAAAATTTTAAATGTACAAAGAAATAAAACTCCCTGTAATGCCCACTGTTGACAGTTCATTATATTTTTTTCTAATCCTTTTACTATACATGTTTTTAAAAATTTTTATGTCAAATTTTTATCATGAATAATTTCTCATGTCTTTAACATTTTTTTTAACCAAAAAATGTGTCACGGTTTACACAATTTATATCTTAGGTAGTTTCTAATTTTCCTAATTTAAAGTAATGGGCATATATTTTTTCTTATTTTCTGGGTTTAAATTTATTATATAACATTTTATACTTTAAAAAGACTGTAGTGATAAAAGTAACTTAAGTGCAACCAGCAACTGTGAACTCACCACCCCAACGTAAGAAGTGGACTATTCCTGGTGTGATCCTGCCTCACACCCACTTCGGCTCCCTCCGGGCAAACACTGCATAGAATTAAAGGGGTGGTTTTTCTTTGTTTTTTAAAAATAGGTTTATTGTTTCATCACATAAATGTATTGTTAAATAATATATTACTTAGTCTTGCTTATACTTGACCTTTATAAAATATACTCTAGACCTTTGTGGATTATAACATTCACAATTATGGTTCTAAGCTTTTTTAAGTTTATAAGTTATAGATGTTTTGCACTTATTTTCTCTGTTATACAGTGAATACTTCATTGTGTTAATACTACAGTTTTTTAATCCATTCTCCTGGCATGAACATTTGTTTTCAGGAATTGGATGTGTGTGTGTGTGTGTGTGTGTGTGTGTGTGTGAGAGAGAGAGAGAGAGAGAGAGAGAGAGAGAGAGAGAGAGAGACAGGGGTGCTTGCACATTCCTGTATCAGAGCAAATACATGAGACTGTCTCTGGAGCCAGAGCCCAGACTCCAGTCTGTGTCCGAATCGCCTAGAGGACTGGTTACCACAGTGCTGGGCTGCCCTGGGCTCTCTGGTGCAGTGGATATGGGGTGGGTTCCAAGGTTTTATATTTCTAGCAAGTTCCCAGGTGACACGGCGGCTGGTCTGGTCACGACGTCTGCCCGGGGCTGGAATTAGGACCAATTACTTACAAGGTGTGCTCAGCTGCGTTTGGCCGCAGACAATGGTCCTGTGTGGAGCGGAGACAGCGTTGGGCCGTGGCACGGGCAGAACCACAGGCTCCACGCTGAGGGACGGGGTTCAGGACCCGGTCGATGTCAGACGTGGTGTTGGAGGTTTGCTGTGCCCTGGAAAAATCCCCATAGTTATCGTAAAATAACTATAAAGGGTTTTATGAAGGGCACTTACACTTTGGACTAAGGGCAATTGCTTGAAAATACCACTGTGTACACCTTATCTCATGAATATTGTTTTAGATCGAAGTAATCACAGAATTTTTGAGGAAAAAGTAAAATAACCTTTATAAGGAGGGTATTCATGATGAAAATCTAAGGAAAGTTATTTCATTCACAAAGGGGCAATTTACTGGAATACCACTGATTCCTTATAATTTTGGGGAGAAAAATGTCGTCTGGCTCCCAGTCTAAATGGCCTGTATCGGAAACGTTGCTGCAAAGCTGTCCTCAGAGTATTCGCTGCAGGGCCACCACGTGGTCTGAACGAACCCACAGTCAGGCCCTTCCTTATTTTATAACTAAAACCCTTTTTACCTCGCCCAGGCAGACTCACTTCATGTGGATTTTGTTGGGAGAGTTATACTGGCATTTCTGTGAAATTCAGCAAGTGGCATTCATGATTTCAGCTTAGGGTTGTAAGTAACCACTTCCTTTTGTTTGGAAAACTGCCTGGGGTTCCAAAATCATTAGAGGCAGAGTCCAGTCCAGTACCCAGTGAAGGATTTGAAGGCACCTGGCAGTGACCAGTGGGGTGTGGGCAGCGTGAGGGCTTCACCTCTTCACTTAGACCTCAGCACCTGATGCCTACTCTTGTTGCTGGAGGCAGTTTTCCTGGGTAACGTTCAGGAAGTTCTGAGAGCTGCCTTAGAGAAAATGGGTTAAACTGCTGATGCGCAGAAACACTCGTATAGCAGCAGAGGTCAGGACACTGAGGAAGCCTAGCTTCCTTCCGGCCCTTTGAGTTCTGTGGGTCTGTCCAGAAAGAAAAAGTTTGTAAACTGTTGTGTTTGTTACACCTTTTAGCAAACTTCAGCCACCTGTAAGAAATATGGTGGTGTAGGCTTTGCACCAACTCTACAAACAAAAACATCTAAAAATGCTGCAAAAATTAATTTTCTTAAAAGCGTCAAAGAGCTGAGAAGAAATTAAATAATTACCAGGTTAAAGAAAAAGCAAGAATTGTGAAAATTGTGCTTATAACTGCATTCCCTAAGAGCGTTCGGCAAATGTGAGTTAGGACTTGTAGGCCTCATGGGTGAGGGGACAGCAGTAATGCCCACGAGATGAAATCTAATAGGTTTTCCTTTCACAAAGAGAGGACACCAGAGCCTTCTCCCCGACTTACCCACGGACACGCTTGGCATCGCAGAGTAAGGAGCCGTAACTCACCCCAGGTTAGGTTCATATCGCTGTATTATTTCAGATGCTGCGTTGAGTTTAAAGTACTGCCTGATTGAGCAGTGATGTGCCTAGGAAGCTGACAAGGATATTCAAGTCCCCATTGGAAGAAAACACCTTTATTCTAGGCCTCAGATAACTTCTCAAATCATTTTTTTTTTAATCCTCACCCGAGGATAATTTTCCATTGATTTTAGGGAGAGTGGAAGAGAGAGGGAAGGACAGAAACATCCATGTGAGAGAAGTGCATCAATTGGTTGCCTCCTGCACGCACCCTGACCAGGGCCTGGGCCAGGGAGGGGCCTGCCACCGAGGTACATGCCCTTGACCAGAATCAAACCTGGGACCCTCCAGTCCACAAGCTGACACACTGTCCACGAGCCAAACCAGCTAGGGCTCTTCTCAAATCATTTTACACAGTGTGACTTGGTGGTTGAACATCAATCTATGAACCAAGAGGTCACAGTTCGATTCCAAGTCAGGGCACTTGCCCAGGTTGCGTGCTCAATCCCCAGTAGGGGCATGCAGGAGGCAGCTGATCAGTGATTCTCTCTCGTTGACGTTTCTCTCTCTCTCTCTCCCTCTCTGAAATCAATAAAATACAAAACAAAAAATAAGCACAGAATTCATTATGAGTAAGAGCAGGCAGAAATTGGAACTGCAGGGCCTTATAAATATTAGTCGCAGAGCCTAAAATTATATATTTTTTTATCTTTTAAGGAAATAAAAGATCAACTTAAAATACCTATCATTACGGACCTACCTGTAGTAACAGAGCAGGTAATTTAGAACAGTCCTCCCACTGATGCGCATTAATCAAGCTAGACAAAATATAGATAGAACTGAGTTGCTAACTAGGCTGTGCAGAATTACTGGGCCAAGAGCTGCGAGGATGGCATTTCAGGGTTGAGTGCGATTGGATCCGAAAGTGGTGGATAAGAACATTATTGTGGCGCTTGGGGGGAAACTGTTGGAGGCCAGGGATTTCGCAGAAACTCTAAGATCTGAGTTCCTGTGTCATAGGAATGTGCCAGGAGAGGGTTCATCAGGAACGTGCCAGTCACGGCCCAGCCTGCAGCTCAGCTTCACGTCCCCCGGTGCTGGGAAACGCCAGTCACTGAGGAGCGTGAGGTGACCTTGAGTTCCTGATACTCCAGGTGCGTAGCAGAAGCCAATGGGAACGCTACTCTGGAGGAAGGGACTATCAACCTGAGCCTCAAAACCGTCTTCAGATACAGTGTTTGACAGAGAAAGGTAATTAGGCAGATAACGGGACAAGACATCGAGGATAAAAAATCAATAAAAATTGACCAACAGGTCTCCAGAACTCTGCCTACTAAGTTCAAAAATATAAGTATTCATTGTGGTGTGTTTTTTTAAGTGAAAGCACATTTGAAAGAAAACAGAAATCTGAAAACTGAACATTTTGTAATCAAAATTAAGAAAAAAATATGTGAGACAACAGTAGAATAAACAGCTGAAGAGAGAAATAGTGAGCTGTAAAGCAGGCCATAAGAAGGAATCCAAAATGGGTAAAGAAGGTCAATTATGTAATAACAGATGGAAACTAGGCTTTTGGAGGTGAGTGCAGTGTAATACACTGTTGGATTATAATGTTGTATACCTGAAAGTTACATAATGTTGTAAACCAGTGTTCCCATAAGTAAAATAAAAAATAAAAGAAAATTAAAAACAAAAATGAAAGAATTCAGACTGAAACGTGGAGAAAAGAAGGTTGGAAAATTCAGAAAAGACTGTAAGAGGCATTAATATATAGT